ACGAACTGTTTGCAAGCATCATTTAAATCAGAAATGGCGACACCTGCTGCATAATGAACCCAAAAGCCACATTATTTCGCGGCCGCAATCCCTGTACGTGGGGTCCAGTTGAATGTGTGGCCCCAGCAGCGTGGCGACGGTAGATGACCTGAGGCTATGGCAGGACCACCCGCCATTTCGTCCGTATGGACCTGCCGTGAGGTCAGCGCACTCACCCACCACACATAGGCCATAAGCAAGCCGTTGTCTGCCACCGTCGCAGAACGCTCGACCAATCCGCCAGACGCCCCGCCGATTACCAATCGGATCAACGAGACGCCGGCGCTCGTGGGCTACAAGCCGTCAAAGCGATCGTGTCCGATCCGAGCGATCAGCATCCGTAACGCGATGACCCCTGACCCCGACGGCGCGGACGCCAGCCAGCAGTTTGTTCGCCGGCGGGATCAAAGGCACCGCGGCGGCCCACTCTCCGTCACGAGCTGTTTGCAGAGTCATCACGGACTTAGGCGTGGGCGGTCTCTGACGAACTTCCCGGCCGTGGAGGGCTGGGGCTCAGTGCCGGCCAACGCCGCGGGTAAGCTCAAGCGGTCAGCTGAGCGGCAGGTCCGCTGACCGCGTGAACGAGTGGCAGGTCAAATATAACTATTGGCTCGCTCCGCGATGGCAAGGCACACCGAAAACACCTACGGTGAAACGCAGAGCAGAGGGATGGTGCTGATACCAACGAGGGATTCAGATACCGGAACTGCAGCCAACTCTCGTGGACCTGGACTATTAGTGTTTGTGAATGCAGGTCACCGTAATCTGCGCTGCAACCCTGGTTGCGTTCGAATACACCACTCGTGTCTGCGGAGCCCTAAACAAGGTCACCCCTGTCGCCACCCATTCCGGCCACTATCCCTAAACAGCGATGCTCCCGCTCCGTTCAAAACCGAATGCGATCGCCCCTTGCGTATAAGTGAGCGTTCAATGCCACTGGCCTCACCCCAAGCCCAATCGCCACCCCCTGCTCTACTGCCCGCCCTGTACCTGCCCACAGCTGCGCTGTCGGCGGGCAGCGACCCTCTCCCTCGCGTGGGAACGGAGCGGGACCAGCGTGGAGGGAAGGGCGCGCCGCGCCGACACGCTGCGAGGGGGTCGCGGCGGTCGGACCCGCTGCGCCGTGTACCGGCCGCCGAGACGCGCTGGCGGCGGAGCCCCATGAACCGGCAGGTGCACGTGAGCCGCCGCTGGCTCGGGGAGGAGCGACCGTAACGGGCTAGGGCCGAGGACGACCGGCGTCCGCCGCGCGTCACACCACGTGACTGGGGACGAAACGCGGCCAAACTGCCGCCAGGGGAGCGCGCGCGGGCCACGTGGCGTGATCCGCTCATTGGACAGCTGGTGCGAACGCGGCGGGAGTGCGACTCAGATGCAGGAGCGGACGGACTCGATGAGACAGGACTTCGATGGGAGGGAACCGCATGGGACTCCATTGGGAGTGACGAGACTGCTATGGCAGGCGGTCATCGCGCACGGTTCAGTGGCCCGAAGCTCTGCTGCTGATGGTGAGGTGAAGGGCAGCAGGACCCCGGCGGGACAGGGACGGGGACGGGCGTCGCGCCGGCTGGCGGCCGGACACAACCGGTCGGGCCGGCCCGAACCAGCGGAGGCCGGCCCGACCAGCGGAGGCCGGCCCCGGCCACGGCTGGCCTGGACGCAAGGCCCCTGTGCGCCGGCCGATCCCGAGGCGGACGGCGCGCGCCAACCACAGGCCGGCAGCGAGCAGACGGCCAGACGCAACCACAAACACAGACCGAATGAAGCACGTTGGGACAGCCTGGGAACCACACACAGGCAGCTGGCGTGCCACCAGCAGAAGGCTGTGCCTACAGACTGATAAGCAATTCGTGGCAGACAAAGGCAATTAATGCAGCCGATGTCCACGTCCGCCACGATGTCCGCATCCGTATGGAGAATGATGACATGACGCACGGACTAAGCAAGAACGATTTCGATGCTGATCACCAACTGGTAACAAGTGATTGACCCGCAGAGGACAAAGAAAAAAAACGCCACGGGCGCTGCATCCGGAGCATTGCCTGCAGTATCAGTCATAAAGTCGCACCTAATGGATGAAACAGCACACATACTGCGCACCGCGAAGAGCCGTGTTCACACTGCCGCGGAAGATGCCGAGAGCCGTGCTCACACTGACACGGAGGATACCGAGAGCCGTGTTCACACTGTCACGGAGGATACCGAGAGCCGTGTTTCACACTGCCGCGGAAGATACCGAGAGCCGCGCTCATACTGCCAAGGAGGATACCGAGAGCCGTGGTTCACACTGTCACGGAGGATACCGAGAGCCCGTGTTCACACTGCCAAGGAGGATACCGAGGAGCCGTGTTCACACTGCCGCGCAAGATACCGGGAGCCGTGTTCACACCGCTGCGGAAGAAGATACCGAGAGCCCTGCTCACACTGCGCGCGCAAGATACCGGGAGCCGTGTCAACGACCAGGGCCACACTTTAGCACAAACACATACCGAAGCCACACACTCCGCTACCACTTCAGGCTATTGAAGGAGAGCGTACAAAAATGACACTCGTACTTGGGGAATTAAGGATATTGCATTGTAGCATGTGCACCGAAATTCGTTTTTCGTTTTCAACTTTCTCATTAAAAATGTCTTAGATTCACAGGCTGCAGGTGCGTAATGATCCAGTCACCTCCTGATCCGGCTTCGAAATCCACGCACGGAAAGCAGTGCAGGTGCTCGGCCAGTAGGGGAAATATCACCGATCGGTCTTTTGAAGTCATAGTAGCATAGCACTAGACTTGTAGCAAGATAATCCTTCCGATGCAAGGTACCTTTATTATGGCAAAAAATGGGATTATGGGCCCCTTAGTAAAAACATGGGTAAACAATATATTTGTCCCGCAAGAAGTTTGTTAGGATAGTGGGGTTGCCCCATCCCCCTACCACCATACGATAGAGGGGGATGCGTTCCTTCCCCACCGACCCCCGTGGCGCCGGTCGTGTTATTGGGGAAACAGCTGTATCACCGACATCTCAAGAAATTCGTAATGGGCCTACGGCGTTGCATTGCAGGAGTGAACTGCACACTGCCTTTTGCAGTCTAACATTTGTTGGCAAATTTCTGTTCTGGTGAAAGAAATAACATTACTTCGGTGTGCCATGACGCATACATCTCACCAAAAATTAAAAATGCCACTCGTAAGAAAAACCTGCGGCAAAGCTACCAAACGAGGGAAGTTTTCTTACGGGGCTGCTACGGCGGCGAAGAACCGAACATAATCAACTTACGCCGCTGCGGGTACGCGACGGAGTGGTAGCGTAGTCGTGAGAGTTCTTGACGTGTGCTCGAAGATCAGCGGGCAACGATGCCGGGCTAGGTGAGTACATTGCACGTAGTTAAATTTCCCGGACTTTTAAGTGCGCGGCTTTGTTTAGATTACTACCACCGAATCCACTCAAAATAGCGCTTGGAGTTCGACATAAAGGCGTTCTTTCTGGCCAAGTCGGGTCAACCATGGTGAGGAACAATGAAGAGAGTAGAAACAAAATTGCACGAAGTTACCCCTAAATCACTGATAAAAACAAACCTGTTCTGACCATGGGTGTAGTTTCACAAAATAAGTTGAAAAGGTGGGCTGAACCACGAAAAATGGCCTTGATTACATCCAAATTGTGCCACATCCAAATTGTGCCAATCAAGAGTTTTCTTCAGGCTTTGCTCGACTTTCTTTACGTTCGGGCGGGGCGGTGGGAGCGCAAATGGGGGGGGGGGGGGGGGGGGGTGGGAGCGTGGGGGGCCGTTATAGTAATGCGTTCCGCGGTGGCGCCTCTTTCTGACCCACGATTGCCACGGTCGGTGACCTAGCGCTGGTGTGAATCCGGTGGTGCCCATGGAATGCCCATTGTTCAGCACACAGCTAAACCTTATGTGGGACATTTGCGTTTGTGTTTGAGTGTGTATAGTGCGCACCACAAGACGTCACAACATTTGCGATACCACTCGATGCAAATGACCTGCCACAGGCATATTTTCGCAAAATAAGCTCGGGACTGAGCACTACAAATTTACCAAATTAGCCCAAAAACATATCATCAAACGAGTTCTCCACCGGTTTGGTCAGCTTTCTTCACAAAGTTGGGGAGGCTGTTGTCAATCTATGTAGTTTATTTTGCGGTTCCCTGACTTGCACCGGTACTGCTCCGTTTTGCTGATTTGTCGACAGCACCAGGGCCACCACCACCACGGGTTTTGGGTCGCGGGGCAGAATTCTCCTTCGGGCCTCCTGAGCAAAATTGGGCTCCCTCAAGGGGGAGGGTGGGAGGGGGGGGGGGGGAGACGGTCGGGGGCTTCTACGCGGCGTCGCATACAAGGGGAGGGGCAGAACAGAGGTCATGTGCCCTTACCAGAGTGCTGAAAGCATCAAATCCCAGCAAATAAGTGTCATAAGTCGACGATAAAACAAAATGTGGACCTTCTTATTAACGGCAGAGCATCACTTATCTAAAACGGGGCCTCCTGTTTCAGAAAAACGGTCCTACTCCTCCCCTCTTCCCCCGCCCCAGGACTGCATGCACTTAGCGTGGCAATTTTGCGCTGACCGCAGTAGTTGCCTGGGAGCACAACAGGAAAACTGATCTTCTTTGAGAGTTTAGTGGCACATTTTTGGCTAGGAATGACGTTCTTTTATTTTACGGAATAAATACGCTGAAAAACGCTTTGAACGTGGTCTGTTGGACTGTCCTTTACATGGATCCATTTGCCGTAAATATTGGCAATCGCCACGACGAACGGGCACCACCACACACGGTGACATAGTACGCGGCCTCTAAACTTGCCCACAGCACGAGCGGGGCAATAAACAACACATCACATATTGAGACCATCGTGACGTCACGCCTGCTGGCCCGCCCCTCTTCTGTGGACGGCGGATGGGGGGGGGGGGGGGGGTGGCGTGCAGCCACCCTCGGAGCACTTACTTGATGAAGTAGGTGAGGCCCTGAGCGGTACAGGCGCGCTCCCAGCCGTCCGGCAGTGGGCCCAGGCCGTCTGTGAAGTCGTAGCTGCTGCTTGAGGTGCGCATGCTGCTGGTGCTGCTGGGCCGCCCGTACGGCTGCTGCAGCGCCGCCGGCGACGAGTGCGCCCGCAGGTGGTTGCCCTGGGCCGGGGCGGCGCCGAACGCCGGAGTCGCCTGCGTCGAGTCCGTAGACGAGTTGCGGCTATGGGAGACAGACGGGGACTTGCTGCCGTGCTGAGGAGGGTTGAAGAACGACTTGGGCAGCTTGCGCATGCTGAGCGGCACGGTCAGCGGCATGCTTGGCTCCTGCTTCTTCAGCACAGAGTCGAATAACGAGTTCATCAGCGAGTCCGAATTCTCACGCACGTGCAGAACTTGGCTGCCCTCCTTGCGCTCCACGAAGTCTGAGTTGGCGTTCTGCGCCATGACTGCGTGCGTGCGTGCCCTCACCCCACGCCCGATGCACGGTCGTTCCCTCCTACCGCACGTCGTCCCGCGTCCCACCCCGACACCGCACGGCCGCGCCGCCCTGAACTGAGCGCCCGCCTGGAATTCACCCCAGGCGGCCGGTGCGCAGCCGCGGTGGACGTCACTGTACGCCAGGAAGATAGTACCGCCCCGTTAGAGGTGCACGCGGTTCAGGGAGGGTTCAGCCAAATGATGCAAACTCGGCGCAGTATTGTGCTTGTGACAGCTGCAAGCTTAAGTAACTAGGCTATCGTGGTCAGCAAATCTGTGACTCATACTCATTTTAAAATGGTACCAAATACTTTTCAATGAATCAGGGTAGCTCTGTTTCTCTGAGACTGCACATCTGCTCAGGCCCTCCCACACTAAAGCTGCACCTCCCGCTCGAGCCTGAGGCGGGGCAGCGGTGTTTGTTTTCGACTCGGGTCGGAGTCCCGCCGCGGTAGGGGCTGGGAGTGTCACGCGGAGACCAAAAATGTGATGCACAGGACGCGATTGTATTTTTCGGTCCGTCTTAAGTCAAATTATGGACAATACTTCAGGACAACCAATTTGAAACATATTGCATCAGGGATGTCATTTTTTGTAACTTGTGGGGCAACCGAAGGCCAAACCTGTCCACCATTTCCTCCCGCCAGATTTAGCCTACTCCATTTTGATTGCCGGTTGTGTCTGTATAAGCTTTTGTATAATTAATCAGCAAAGTTTTTTAATTCAAAGCAGCAGAGTGGCCACACGGGGGTAGATCCAGGCAGTAGCGCACGCAGGGGACACGGGGAGGCAAGCCCCCCCCCCCCCCTCCCTGGGTTCCGAGGAGCCCGACGGGTCCCTCGGAATCTATGATTCAGGCCCGATTTGAGGGCCCCGAGACTTGGGGCCCAAGGGCCCGAAAGGCCGGCCGGAGGTTGCATTTAAGTGCCCCGGCAGCAGTGCCGGGGCACTTCAATGCCAGTCAGAGGGCGCTGCACGTTTATCAGCGGCCCCTGAGTCGATAAGGGTATAGATGTCGGTCAGACAAGACCAGCAACGCACAGTCGGCTTCGTGGCGGCATGGGCCTGAGGGCCCACTTCCCACGCAGGGACAAAGCCGGAGTCAGCGATTTACATTGGGCGGGACCGCGGCATGTCAGCGCCGACAGCGCCTAACGAGGGCCCGGTGTTAGCAAGGGGCCCCGATTCGGCCAGAGGCAGTGTTTGAGGAGGCCCCAAGAGCCTAGAGGCCCACTGGGTCCGACGATGAAGGACCCGGTTGGAGGGTCTAAGGGCACGAAGGATTGGTCAGAGTTTATTCAGGGGTCCCGGCCCGCGGGGACGGGGTCTCAAATAGCCGTCAAAGGGTCGTTTGCACCAATCGAGGAACCCCTGATCTGGGCCTTTCATGTCGTTCAGGCACCACCAGTTCGGTGCACACGGCTGCGTAACAATATATGCCTGAGGGCCCACTTTCCAATCAGCTACAAAGCCGGGGCCAGTGATTAGTCGGGGGTTCTAAATCTGTCAGGAGCTCACAGCACCTA